AAATTAAACATAAACATTGATTTAGTAAATACAACCAATTAGAAGTAATCCTACTACTAAAGCAAATATAAATGTTAATTTAGTAACTAAAACTCGTAATTTGCTCTATGCTTACCACCTGCCTACTATGCTTATCAGTAGAGGCCTAACCAATATATTAAAGGATTTTTTGTTCTCAAACCAAAGCATTTACCCTCATTTATAATGTTAAACATAAGAAATATAGAAAATCATACATTTCTGAGATCTTATGAGTGCAACAATTCCATTGTAACTCATAAAGGTCCACCGATGAACAAAACATTTCTGATACATACTTTTTATCACATGCTTATTAGGTAAATGAGATGTACCACATGCTAATAACATGATAAGTACGCAATATAAATTTAACAAAATCTAACAGAATCTAGAGAAGGTATCAGCGTAAAATGTGTTTGAAACTTTGGGTTATCAAACTGTTGAAGAAATACTTTGGGGTATCAAAATGAAATAAAATCGAAATTTTGGAATACCAAAGTGTTAACTAAATACTTTGAGTAAACTTTAGGGTACTAAAATGTTAGAAAAATACTTTGAGGTACCAACGTGAAAAAGTGAACAAATTTTGAGGACTGAAAATAAGCCACCAAATAAGAAACTTTTTTTTTTTGGGGGGGGGGGGGGGGGGGTCTAAATCTTCCATATTTTGAAATTAGTTCTTCGAATCAGTGAGATTGCTATTATGTTGCCCAATTCTTGAGCTATTTTGAAATTAATCCCTCAAAATAATTGAAATTACTATTTGGTCCTCCCATTCTTTAGTTATTTTGGAGTTAGTCCTTCAAATCAAGGGTAGGATTAGCAAGAGGGATCTATTTGAAACAAGTTATGAGAATCTAGGGGCCTAATAGAAATTTCAATGTACAACAACTCCACAGAGAAGGCACGTGCAATGCACATGCCCTCTTCACTAGTTACTTTAAAGAAAGGCCTATTGTTTACTAGCCAATTTATTTGGAGAAAAGAGGGATGGAAGAATGAAAGAGTGCAAATTAATTATGACTTGAAGCAAACAGTCTTAACTTAATAGGGATTCTTGTAGAAACTAGACAGTGATTTGACATACCTTTCGTGGTTAACTTAGAATTAAAATTTCACTGCAGCATCTGATCAAAATTTTCCATCAAATGTGCAACTCTTTCCAAAGTTTATTAACATATTTAAACCACGCCAAAAAAGTATCATTCTTACTACCCCATTTTCCAACATTATGTCATACTGTCTTGATAGATTGTGCTATAATTCTTTCTGATCTTGATAAAGAAGTTTTTTTTGTTTGTTGAACCCTTAAATTTTCTCAAAGTTCTCATAGGATGGTGTGAGATACGCAATGCTTGATTTTAAGTTGCTTTGTGGAGGTCTTAAATAGATAATTTTTTAATCAAGTCTTCTACATTTCATTTGTGCGTGAAATTCCTGATTATCTAGTATTCTGAGGTACTCATACAGTTATTATGTTATAATGGAGTTTAAGGCAGTTGACTTTTGCTGATGGGTGGCGTTGGAGTTGCACGATTAGTCTAACATGGGCATCTTAATTTCTAATGCGATGTTCTATAGTATAACTATTTTGAGTTTTCACATTAATGTTTTATCTGTGTAAAGGGGATAAGCCTAGATTTTGTCACGCCTCAAAACTGCAGCGAAAATTTTGTAAATGCGGGGTGCGCGACAGCAGCGACCCGTGCACGAGACATGTCTTATACACGTGTCAAGCCTGACAATTCATATCACATAGTTTATTTTTAAAATATCCATAAACCTGCTGATGATAGAAATCAGAACAACTATATATATATGATCGGTACTTACAACCCACAAGCTCACCGTTATAAGCATTTTTTTTACGAAACAAAACAAATTGTGCTGAAGGTAACATCAACAAGAAGAGGCTCTCCATATAACATCTTTCAGCCAAAAGCTCAAACCAAAAGTTCGGCTAATATGAAGCTACGCCGGATCTGAATTTTTTTTTTTAAAAACAACGGGGTGAGCTAGCGCTCAGTGAGAACATTTGATCTGAATTTTTTTTTTTAAAAACAACGGGGTGAGCTAGCGCTCAGTGAGAACATTTCCCACTAGAGCGCTAGCTCACCCCGTTGTTTTTAAATTTTTTTTCAGATCCGACGTAGCTTCATATTAGCCGAACTTTTGGTTTGAGTTTTTGGCTGAAAGACGTTATATGGAAAGCCTCTTCTTGTTGATGTTACCTTCAGCACAATTTGTTTTGTTTTGTAAAAAAAATGCTTATAACGGTGAGCTTGTGGGTTGTAAGTACCGATCATATATATATAGTTGCTCTGATTTCTATCATCAGCAGGTTTATGAATATTTTAAAAATAAACTATGTGATATGAATTGCCAGGCTTGACGCGTGCATAAGACTTGTCTCGTGCACGGGTCGCTGCTGTCGCGCACCCCGCATTTACAAAATTTCCGCTACAGTTTCGGGGCGTGACAGATTTTGCTAAGGTTATCAAAGATTAGAACTGGTGCCTAGTGGCAGAGCTAAAAGTTCATAAGAATGGTGTCACAATATTAATAAAAAAGACATTACTACTATTTTTTCTCTCACATTCAATATTATCTCACATTGAATATAATTTGGAGCTTTCATAAGATATAAAAGATATTTAACTACATCCAAATACAATTGGCCCGCACTTATCTTCATGTTTTGAAATCGTTGTATAATAGCCTCATTCGAAACACCATTAAACACATCATTTTCAATGTAAACCTATGTATATCTTTTTCTTTTTCAAAATAATAGTATTTATAGATCATTGATATGTGGTGAAGTGGGCCATTTAAGTCTATGGTCCAAGGGTAACTTTCTTTAGGTATGGCCGTTAAGAATTGATGGGCCGAAAATTACTATCCAAATAATTTGGATCACTTTGCTTCATAAGCTCATATATAGTTCATTAATTGTATGATATAGGGTGGTGTCACTTGACACCACATTTCAAATGCTAGCTCCGGCCCTGCTGGCACCCACTAGTTAAATGAAAAAGGGATATTGGACGAATGTCTTAAGTTAGTTCTAGCAGTCTAAGGCTGCCCCAAAATTCATGCACAAAGATAACCTCTCGTTGATGCTTTTATTGCTTAATTTAGATTTAAAAGCTTACATATAAAATTGGTGTTGGCTTAATCTTTATAAACATTTGATGAATCATTTTAAATCTGATCATACAATTTCATGAAGATTTACATTTTCCTTGCATCTTGCCATTTTCTGATTTAACTGTTACGTATTTAAGGACTATTGATGTATTATATGCATAATGCATCTATGTTGGGACCTTAATGTTACCATTAAATATTGCTCAAGGTGGTGCTTCGTATTAGTCTTTGCTGGGCAAAAGATACTCCGAGAAGATACTAAGTTTGATCATCTAATTATAAAATGGAGTAGTTTACTGCTCTTTGTGGCTTACATTAGCTTGTAATTGTTGGTATCGGCTTATAATTGTTGGTATCGGATGCAGTGAGCGTAATCACCTAATTAATTTAGCATTCTAAAAGGAAATTATTATTTGAAGCCAAGGACAAGAGACGACTGACCTCAGCCCTTTTATTGCATGTGAGGCACCCCCTCAAATAGTTAAGCATTTATGTCCTCGATCGATATATGTTAATTTTGGAAATCACATTCAAGTTGAGCATTCAAGCCCTTTTTTTGCATGTGAGCTACTCCCTCAAACAGTTGAGCATTCAAGTCCTCAGTGGCTATATGTAATTTTTTTGGAAATTGCATTATTTTCCTGTCATTGTTTTAAATATCCTTGACATTGCCGGTGGATATATCCTTTTATAAGACTTGCTGCAAAACAATATGGTTTCAATATCCTTTCCAGTTTTTTTGGAATTTTTTGCCTTTTGGGTGATATACCCCCGACATGGCTAATATATCATCCGGTATGTCCTTTTATATGCTTGTCCCAAAATAATATAGTTCTGTAAAATTTCTTTAATGTTTTTATGAGAAGATTCTATCTTTATGAAGTTCATTAGCAATTTCCAGTAAACTCTTTTTGCTAAGTTTCTATAATTGGTTGGTGGTTCTAAACATATATTATTTACATTTTTGATGCTTAGATTTCTCTAAGTATGTTAAGGTTACATTTTAGGACATTATATTGTATGAGCATCACTCAATATGGCACTCTGATGTTTGCTACATAAACCCAATATTCCCAGATATCTACAATCCAGTATGGATTTTGGTCGCCTGATGTTTTCCTGATATCCCATATATAAAACTTAATTTGTTTCCTGTAGCTAGTGGCCTTATTGAACTGTGGTGCTAATATAAATCGATATATGTTAGGATTCTTGTAGTTCTTATGATTCTTTGCTCACGAGCTTAAACTTGTATTTGCGAGTGATTTGAGTCCTCCCTGTTATAGGGCTGCAAGAGTCTTCTTTTAGTTGGTGATTGAGTCCCAATCAGGCTTGAGCATCTGACCTATTTTCTGTGCTTGTACTTTCAAGCAATCACTTCAATGTAAACATATCTTAAATTTGTCAAAGGACCCTACCACCGCACCAAAACTCTGGCGTTGTAATAAGGGTTGATGGTTATAATTTTATATTCTAACATGCCCCCGCAGGTTGAGGATCCTTTTAAGGGAAGAAACCTGGACACAACAACCGTATCATTTTTTTAAATCCTCTAAGAAATGCATGGCTAGCAATAATTGAACCTGGGTTGTTTATCTACCATCTTAAAAGTACCTGCCACTACACCAAAACCCAGAGATCATTATGTATCTAAAGGTTAAGGTTGACTGGTTCTTGGAACTGTGCTCTTCTGCTTCGATAGCTTTCCAACTTAGATGTATTTTCTTACCAGGCCTGGGATTTCTTTTATTGTTTGCGATTGCTTGCTGGTCTTTGTATAAACCTTGTCGTATTTTTTATTTATTTTCTAACTCCAGTCACTACTGCAGATGGAGCTTATGGATAGGGAGAGAAAAAGGTCAAGATTGGCAGAACAGTTGCACAAACATTTGGCAGCAAGTGCTATCCCAAAAGGCATTCATTGTCTCTCCTTACGTTTGACTGACGAGTACTCATCCAATGCTTATGCAAGGAAACAGCTCCCACCCCAAGAATTGCTACCTTTGCTAACTGACAACTCCTACCAGCATTTTGTTCTAGCCACTGATAATGTCCTTGCAGCTTCAGTAGCTGTCAACTCAGCTGTGGCATCTTCTTCAAGACCCGAAAGAATTGTCTTTCATGTTATAACCGATAAAAAGACTTATCCAGGGATGCACTCGTGGTTTGCTTTGTATCCTATTTATCCAGTGATTGTCAAGGTGAAAGGCGTTCATCAGTTTGACTGGTTGACAAGAGAGAATGTTCCTGTTCTTGAAGCTATAGAGAACCACCATGCTGTTAGAAGCCACTATCATGGGAATCATATAGTGGGTACTAATGTCACAGATAACCCTAAGGTTTTTGCTTCCAAACTACAGTCTAGGAGTCCTAAGTATATTTCACTACTGAATCATCTTCGTATATACCTGCCTGAGGTAAATTAATCATTTCCAACATTTCTTTGCATGATGCCTAGAATATACTACTAGGGAGATTAAGGGTGCCATATTTTTAATGATTTTAGCACCAAGTTCTTGGTTTAGGTGAATGGTGAAAATGGGAATTGATATACATGCTATTTGAGATCTGGGTGAAATAAAGAGATTGTCGAGGTTTAACTTCAACTTTATAGTAGCATATTCGAAAAAACATGGATGAGATGGAGTAAACATTATGCTCCTTAAGTCTATATCAGTTTCCACCTGAGGAAAGGATATCATACTGAGGCTCATTGTTCCTTATTGATATAGGGAATGTGAATTTGGGAGACAGGATTAAGTTTTACCTTTTTCTTTTCCCAATCTGCAAAAGCCGGATCAGCTGACAATAGTAAAAGAGAGAAATAAAAGAAAAGGACCTGAAGTTCTCTCCTCTCCTATTTTTTTTCTTCTGTTATTCTGGTTTCTGTTCAATAAAAAACCAGCAAATTACAGGTGGATGTAAAAAATCAAGTAACCTGTATGCATTCAGAAAAGTGAAATACAGTTATGTTCATCCTTTATGTATGCAAAGTTGGCCAAGAAATAAAGCTTGTGTTTCCTGTATACAATTCAACCTGCAATTTGCTGCGAGTTACAATGAAGGACCTAGGGTGTACATTCTTATTACTTCTTTTGATTTTTTTTTAAATGAACCAGTTTCTTTATCATCCTGCTTGGTTTTGATTAATTTTCCCCTCTCGAGTTAAGTCTGAAATACTGATGCAGAATTCATTTGTTTATTAAAACAGCTCTTTCCTAATCTCGACAAGGTGGTCTTTCTTGATGATGATGTCGTTATTCAGCGTGACTTGTCACCTCTTTGGGAGATTGACCTTGAAGGAAAGGTAAATGGCGCTGTCGAAACTTGTAATGGGGAAGATGGATGGGTGATGTCCAAGCGCTTCAGGACTTATTTCAATTTCTCTCATCCCCTCATATTCAAAAATTTGGATCCTGATGAATGTGCATGGGCCTTCGGGATGAATGTCTTCGACTTGGCTGCTTGGAGGAAGACAAACATCAGGGATGCATATCATTATTGGGTGAAGAAGGTAATATCTGAAAATTTCAACCAGTTATATATGCGTTATAACCATTTTCCACATGAAATTGGCAACATCTTCTGTTCCTTTCAATGACAGTTTCTGATGTTCGCCCCTAGAATTAAAAATGGGGAGATGTTTGGTAACCAAAAGGTAAATATAAACTAGAAAATAAAATAGAAAGTAGAAATTAAAGAGAAAGTACTTTCTTATTGACTTTCTATCTTATAAGGATGATTGAAAGCGAGAAGGTAGAAAATTGAGGTGATAACTGATGCTTTCTTTTTATGTACTGTGTTACTTCTGCGGAAAGTGGATATTGGAAAGGGATGGTGAATTCTCTCCTCTCAATTCATTTTCTATCTTACTTTCTAAACTTTTTTGAATTATGCTGGAGTTTCTTTCCAACTGTGAAACAGGAAAAAGACAGAAATGGAGTCACTTCCCAAGTTTTGTCGACTTTCAATCTATTTTCCAGTTACCAAGCCTTAGAGGTCTTCACCGAGAGATTATGTTTCCTTTCTGAACAAAATCCACCTCCGATTTACCTACTTTCTTACCAGCTTAGCATTATATTTTGGTTGTGGAATCAGAGATCAAACCTGTTACCTACTTTCTTACCATCGTAGCGTTAATATTTTGGTTGCAGAATCTGAGGTCAAACTTGAGTTTGTGGAAGCTTGGAACTTTACCTCCGGCATTGATTGCATTCAGAGGCAATGTGCATCCCATTGACCCTTCATGGCATATGCTTGGTCTGGGGTATCAGGAGAAGTCTAACCTAGATAGTGTAAGGAATTCTGCTGTGATTCATTATAATGGACAGTGCAAGCCATGGCTAGATATTGGATACAAACACCTGCAGCCTTTCTGGACAAAGCATGTAAACTACTCCAATGAATTTATAAGAAACTGTCACATATTGGAGCCTGAAGAATAGATCAGAAATATGGCAAAAAAGTTACAAAAAAAAGAGGATTATTAAGTTGAGGAGCAATGTGGTAGCAAAGCAATGCCCCTCACTCTACAGTTAACCGAAACTAATTGCATTTCAGATGGTAAAAGATAATTCTTTTCCTTCGTAACTGAAACTAATTGCATTTCAGATGGTAAAAGATAGTTCTTTTCCTTTGTATCATAATTGATCCAAGCAATGAAGCACATTGATTTTTTGGATGGGTGTTGCAGCAGATTGCAGTGATTAGTAAATACAGAAGCAAAGGCGCAGCTTAAATGGTCATCGTTGAGTTGTTTCTGAGAATCACCCGGATCTCTTATTTTTCTATTTTGTCCTTTTCCCACAATTTTACTTTATCCAAATTTTGTTTATTTTTTGTTTTTGTTTTCATCTAATTGTTTTGAGGATTGGTGTATTTGTATTCCATTGTATTGAGAGACTTAGGATATTGGTTGGACTTGTGGTTCCAAGAGATACTGAAATGTGCAGATAATTCTTTGGCTTTTGCTTGTGTTATCTGAAGATGTTTATAGATATATGTCATCAGTACGCAAAAATGTTTGTTATCGTTTACCTTACACTTAGCGTTGGGACATGTAATGTGTTTTTAACTTCTTATACTTAGGCTTGCTATAAGTTATGGTGCAATATCACTCATTAAGTTGTAATTGCTTTGCTCCAATCGCAGGAGTTGTGACCAGAGTTACAGAGATATTTTGGGTTGGTTGCAGCTGATCGTTTCATTGCTATTGATAAATGCAATTTCAACTGTAATTGCTAAGGGGGTGTTTGTTTCAAATCCTATAATTTTAGGATATTGATTTCGACATGGGATTTGAAATCCATTGGTTTTTTGTTATGGGTTGGAATTCCTAAAACTATGTTTGTTTCATCAATATTTTGGGATTTGAAATGCTATAATTTGTAAATTCTTGTTTGTTTCAAACTCAAATTGTAGCATTACAAATTTTAGAATTTGAAATCCATAGTTGTAACAAACAAGTTTTAGGATTACCAAAATAATAAATGGTGAATATAAGAACTTTGGTGAGCTTACCTCCCACAAAAAAACAAATACAATTGTATAACATACAATGTGCATATTCAGTTTGTTTCAGGCCCCTTTAACAAAAATTAAACAAAACCTGTCCAGACACAAGCAAGTTGGACCCAATATCAACACAAGCAAGCAGCCGCAAACAAGAAAGATTGACCTAATAACACAAGCAACAACACCCTCATGTAAGCGCAGGCCAGCTGCAAAAATTAAAACAAAACCTTCCTACTGCTTAATAGCATCTCATCATCTTTAACCAAGGCCGCAAACAAGCAGCCGAAAATAAACTGAATCTGAAACAAACATACTCAGTAACAAGCTCACAAGCAACCATTGAAACAAACTGAATCTAAAACAACCAAGCTAACAGAGATACAAGTGTTAACTACAGCTAGACATGTATTCTAGGAATTCCACTCATCATAAAGAAGTAATAGGAGCCAAATATCAGTTAGAAGCATCAACAAGTTGTCCTTCAAAATACACTGGGAGTGACTGAAGCAAAGAAAAGTTGACACACATACCACAGGTGAATACACGCCGATAGCAATGTACTCAAAGACATGGTTGGTAAAAGTAGTGAAATATGCACTTGACATGGTTAGTAACAAACATGCTCACAAGCCATCAAACATGCTCAAAGCTCAATCTGAAACAAAAATGCTCAGTAACAAGCCCACAAGCAACCATTGAAACAAACTGAATCTGAAACAACCAAGCTCACAAACCATCAAAAACATGCTCAGAAACAAGCTATAACTCGAACAACAAAGGCTCAGACAAGCAACCATTAGAAAACTCATAATAGGACCAATGTAGGAGCTCAGATATATGTATTAAAATTGAATACATGGATTGTCTCATCTAACAATGATGTTACAATGGAGGTTGCAATCACATGAATGGATTACCTCACCTAACATTGTAAATACAATGTAGGTTGCATTCTCATCCTAGATTGCCCTACCTAAACAAAGCAAAACATTGTAGATTGCATTCTTATAATATGACCATCATTATTGCCCAAATTGAACAATACAAAATAGTCATACCAATACATATCGTGTAATGTAGGTTGCTATCAAGTATCATATCCATCCATATTTATATAAACATGCAAAAGAACCCAAGCTCATATTCAGTTTATACAAAATATGACCATCAAGTATTATTTTCTAATGGTTGCTTTTGACCTTGTTTCAGATTGCTTCAGATTCAGTTTGTTTCGGGCCCCTTTAATAAAAATTAAACAAAACCTGTCCACACACAAGCAAGTTGGATCCAAGAGCATCTCAGATTGGACGTAAAACCCACAACAAACCAAGGCTTCCAGCACGCCATATTACCAGCAAGTAACCAGTCTACAAACAAGCTCCTATAATCTTCACAAACGACATGTTTTGGCCAAGACTGCATGCAAGCAACAACAAGCAACAACCAGTCTACAAACAAACTCATATAACCAAGAGCGCAAGCAAGCAACCGCAAACAAGAAAGATTGACCCAAGAACACAAGCAACAACACTCTCATGTAAACTCAAGCCAGCTGCAAAAATTGTAACAAAACCTTCCTAGATTCTGATGAAAAAAGGTCAATTGTTGGACATATGAAAAAAGTTCATAACGCTATCGTCATAGCCGCAAATCCATATGTGACCAATCATCATAGCCGCCATCAAAAACTTGCTCGGTAACAAGCTCACAAGCAACCATTAGAAAACAAACTGAATTTGAAGTTGTGACTTGAATCTAAAACAACCTAAATCTGAAACAAACTGAATCTGACACAAGCTCACAAGCAAATCCATTTAGCACAAACTGAATCTGAAACAAAGAAACCCTATAACAAGCTCACACGAAACCATTGAAACAAATTGAATCTGAAACAATTTGTGCCTAGCATATCCTGAGTCTGAAACAAACTGAATCTGAAACAAGCTCACAAGCAAATCATAGAAAACAAATAAGTAACCATGAGCTCACATTATGCTCAATCAGACATAAAATGTTTCAGCAGAAATCAAATGGATATATAGGGAAAATATAAACCTGTGTACAAAAGTAAACTTGCGAAACCACAAATAAAGGAATTATAACCATGAACTGTCAATAAAACAATTTGATGGGAGAGTTCTCTCTCATTAGCTCAAAAAAACACCCCCAAATGAGTGTTGTTTCAATACCTGAAACATATAGAGTACTGTTTTAATACCTGAAACATAATTATGAAACATTGAAACAAACATGCTCAGAAACAAATATTGAAACAAACTCATAATAGGACCAGTATGCAAACAAACATGCTCAGAAACAACCATTGAAACAAAGATGCTCAGAAACAATCATTGAAAACAACCATTGGAACAAACATGCTCAGAAACAAGTGCGGTAACAAACAATGCTCAGAAACAATCATTGAAAACAACCATTGGAACAAACATGCTCAGAAACAAGTGCGGTAACAAACATGCTCAGAAACAAGTTATTAACAAAGGCTTTTGGAACAAACATGCTCAGAAACAAGTGCGGTAACAAACATGCTCAGAAACAAGTTATTAACAAAGGCTGAGACAATAAAACAGTATGAAAACTCATAATAGGACCAAGGTAGGGGCTCAGATATAGGTATTAAAATTGAATACATGGATTACCACATCTAACAATGATGTTGCAATGTAGGTTGCTATCAAATGAATGGATTGTCTCACCTAACATTGTAAATGCAATGTAGGTTGCAATCACATGAATGGATTGCCTTACCTAACATTGTAAATGCTAAATGCAATGTAGGTTGCAATCACATGAATGGATTGCCTTACCTAACATTGTAAATGCAATGTATGTTGCATTCTCATCCTAGATTGCAATCACATGAATGGATTGCCTTACCTAACATTGTAAATGCAATGTATGTTGCATTCTCATCCTAGATTGCCCTACCTAAACATAGCAAAACATTGTAGATTGTATTCTCTTAACTAAGACCATCATCATTGCCCACTTTGAAGATAACCATGTAGTCATACCAATACATAACGTGCAATGTAGGTTGCTATCAACTATCATATCCAATCATATTTATCACAACCTGCAAAAGAACCAATGTCATAATGAGATTGCAATTAGAGTAGTGAAATATGCATCATATTGCCAAAAGCAGTGAAATATGCATAAAGTTACACCGCTAAGTGTTCAACTTACATAATTAGCAACATAAAGCTACACCACTAAGTGTTCAAATTACAAAATTAGTTACATCATTAAGTTGTTAAATATACAACGAGTTTACAAAAGCAATAGATTTGTTAAATCCAAACAAAAGTAGTGCAATATCAAGTTTTCAAAGGTCAAACCCTTGCTCATTGATAATCTTCTCTATAAATAGCTTTTGAGAATTTTTGGTTTTGATGATCAACCTCCTAGATTCTGATTCATGGTCATACAAGTAATCAAGCATTTTATCCAATGTCTTCTCAAAAAACTCATTCTCATGTGTCATTAGAGCATTCTCCATGGTCTCACTCCAATGCACAACACGTTGATTTACACGCTGATTTTGAATTGAGAACGACATCGTGTCAATGAAATTGTGCATGAGAGCCTCATCATCTTTAGCCTTGCTACTCTTCTTCCTAGGAGTTAATGTTTCAATTGATGCAGAAGCTACCCCACTAGAAGTCTTCAATTTTTTAGCTTGAGAGTTGTGGTTTTGCCTAATTGATTTCTCGGGCTCAAGACGTGGGCTTGAGGACAAATCAACCTCATTATCACTAAGTGTTACATGATCCTCATCAACCGTATCATGTTGCCTAGAGCCAAGCTTTTCAGTCATATCTTTGGTAAAATCACCCTTTGCTTGGTCATCTCCCACGATATAACACAAGTTCTCATAGTGAATGAGAGGTGTGTTCAAATACTCCTTCAACCTAGAGCTATTGCATTTTTTGTCCTATACAATAAAATATTACAAAATCAGTTTACTCAGAACTAAATATTCAAAGTTTGCTTATTTAAAAAAAAATATTATCTGTGTCCACCTATCAAAACAATCTGGATCCATGGTGACAATCTTAGTTTGTGGATCATAACCAACCCCACTCATGTTCATGACAGTGCGCATATCAAAATATTTACCCTTCAAGGACTTGACATGGTTCATGACATTCTCCTTTGTGAACTCAGTGCCATATTTCTTGTTGATCTCCTCTGCAGCTCTTCGATATACGAGCACCTTAAAGTTTTTATCAACTTTGAGACCATCCTTTGCCATCTGAGCAAGGAAGAGGATTAACACATCATCATTCTCTGCAGCCCATTTTTCTTTTAGTAACTGCCCGCTTCTTGCTTTTGCTTGGTGAGGTAGCGTCATCCTTAAGATCAATTGCAATTAGCCTCTTCAAAGAAGGAGTCTCACTTGAATGGGTACCAGGGGAAGTATGGATAAGTGAG